GCGGAGGATTAGCCTAGTGAGCCGCGGTGCCGGCCCTCAGCTTTCTTTTCTAAGTGTTTAAATTTGGGTCATTTTACAAGGAAGAAAGGTGATATTTATTGTCAGGAGAAATGTGAATTGACAAGCCTATATTGCATTCCATATTTTTTCTGTTAGTTTTTCTTAATAGAAAGCTTTTATTTAATAAATATAATTTCATAGGTGCAATTTTTGAATTATAGCAATTTGTCCCTGCATACCTGCCCTCCCACCCCCAAACCGTTCCACCTCTACTCCCTTTCCCATTCCGTTCTTCATTAAGATTCATTTTAAATTATCTTTATATGCAGAAGATCATGTATGCTAAGTAAAGATTTTCACAGTTTGCACCCACACAGACACACAAAGTATAAAGTACTGTTTGAAGACTAGTTTTACCATTAATTCTCATAGTACAACTTATTAAGGACAGAAGTCCTTCATGGGGAGCAAGTGCACAGTGACTCCTGTTGTTGATTTAACAACTGACACTCTTATCTATGATGTCAGTGATCACCCAAGGCTCTAGTCATGAGTTGCCAAGCCTATGAAAGCCTTCTGAGTTCACAAACTCTGACATTATTTAGACCAGGCCATAATCATAGTGAAAGTTCTCTCCTCCCTTCAGAGAAAGATACCCCCTTCTTTGATGGCCCCTTCTTTCCAGCGGGATCTCCCTCACAGAGATCTTTCATGTAGATAATTTTTTGTCCCAGTGTCTTGGCTTTCCATGCCTGAAATGCTCAGAGCACAGCTTTTCTGCAGCGTAGTTTTCAGCCCATGCGACTCTTTCCTCCTCCTGGGGCCCAGAACCCTAGGGCCATAACTGGTAGGAAGGCACACATTAGTTATTACTAGGCACACACATCTGAGTGTGTGCACTGTTGAGTCCACTACCTGAGACGGGTGACCCCATGTTGGTTGACCTTTGGTGGTTTTTCTTTTACTTGGCAGTGGCTTCTTTACTCCCTGAAGTCCCCTCTTCTACATAGAGTATTTACAAACTAGGATGGGTGCAGCAACTTTGCCACCAAAGAAGAGGCCAGAGAGTGGGAGCACTGCTGAGATGCAGGTTGGCACAGGGAGGGGTTCCTGAGGAGGGCCCAGGGCTGGCAGGGCCCAGGCAGGTCCATGGCCACCTCAGGCCAGGTTGGTCATGAGGGAACCTGGCGGCTTGGTGGCCAGGAGCAGGTGGATGGCTGTGCTTTCTGACTCAGCCTGCAGCCTCTGATGGTTGTGCTTCTGTCTGTGTACCTCCTCCTCCAGGGCAGCCCTGTCAGCCTTCTTCTGTAGGTTCTGCAGCTTCCTGAGCATGGACTCCAGGTGCAGCATCTTCTCTCACAGCCTCCCAGGCTCTCGCTCAGCGTCAGGCTTTGGGGTTCCCTTGAGGTCTCTGCTCTCTGGGATGGGCTGTCCCTCCTGAGACAGTGACTCCACAATGGAGTAGCAAGTAGAGGTGATCCCTGAGACAGACTGCCACTCATCCCCCACGGTCTTGCTGCCTGTCTCCTACATGATCTTGCTGATGGAGCTCCTCAGACAAGGTTTGTGGCATGAAGTAGGACCTCACCTCAGGGGTTGTGTCACCTTTGTCCTCCTGGCCACCACAGTTTAGCTGTCAGGTGCCAGCAAGGAGACATCCCCCATCCAGGATGAGCCAGGCAGCTCCAGTGGCCAGGAGGACAAAGACATACACATTTCATGGATTTCATAGTCACAAATTTAGAAACATAGTGATTTTTCCCACCTTTACTCCCATCCTTCTTCCTCCTCCCTCTCCTGTTCCCATTCTTATTGTGTGTTTTTTAACTTTTATTTAATAAATATAAATTTCCAAAGTACAGCTTTTGGATTACAGTGGCTTCCCCCCCCATTCGCAATTTCCCTCCCATCTGCCACCCTCCTATCTCCCGCTCCCTCTCCCATTCCATTCTCTTATTGTGTTTTTGATAATAATCATTCCAAGTGGAATAACATGATCTCTCATTGTGGTTTTCTAAAAAAAATTATTTGAGATCCTTAAGATGGTGGAATAGGGAAAGGACACTGCTTTAGGCTAGGAGAAAACAGTAGCAAAAAAGTGGAGGAGGGGCATTCACAGGAGAAGAGTTGGAGAGAAATCTGCAGGGGAAATTCTACAGCAGGAAGAGGGATGTCGTGGATCCACGTGGAAGGTACGGATGCATCCAACATATGACCCCTGCAGCTAAGAACCAGAGGAAGAGACAGCTTTGGAGAGTGGGGTGAGAGCAGACTGCGGGAATCTGTGCCACAGATGATACAGCTGGAGAGATAGCCTGGTGTGACTGTGGCTTGGATCTTGAATTGGGACATTGTACCCCCCTAACACAGCAAAAATGGGCACATTTCTCTCTCCCCATCCCCCGACAATGGCACCTGACAACCAGCTGGGAGAGGGCACCATCTTGACAGAAGTTGTGGCTGTGGCAGCTTGGGTGCACTCACTGGGTAATGGATGGGGAAAAGCCAGTATTCTCAAATCAGTAGCAGCTGTGGTGGCTCTTGTGTGTGCCAAGCAACACACAGGGAGAAGTTGCCATTTTCAAATGAGTCATGGCTGTATTGGCTCTCGTGCATATGTGTGATCCAGGGATTTTACCAGAGGAAAAAATCCACATTTCCCATTGATTTTCAGTCTAGCTAAGAGGACTGACAGGGGTTGGGTACTCATGTGGGACTGTGAGGTGTCCCCAGACTCTCAACCTACCAGAGGCTCAGGGCTCAAAGTGCCAAGGTGCAGCACCCACAGGCAGCTGGCTCTGGGAACATCTCTTCCACTCCGTGGACAGGACAGGTGAGCAGGGTGGAGCAGATCCTCTGCACCCGTGACCATGGGAGCCTTGTGTGCAGAGACTGTGGGAATCCTGAGAATACACATTAGGGCACAGACTGTAACTGGGCCTCTGAGCAATCACTGAGTGTGGTGCCAAGGGCTCAGAGCTCCCTGACTGCTGGGGTGGGTCATGGTAGTGGGGTCCATGTTCACATGAGGACTGCACAGATCCTTTATGTGGTTAGCGTGGCAGTGCAGGCGAGTGCTGCACCCACTGTGGGCTAACCCAGGGCATTGACCACCTTGGAGGAGAGGACGTGAGGGTTTGATTATGCCAACAGGGGTGATCATTCCCTCCTTCCTGCTGAAAAAAGGAGATCTACTGCATTCCACTGAACCCTGCCACACTTTGTGCAGTTCTGAGACCCCACCCAAAATATGCCACTAGGTATTTACTGAAGGACCAGACACTCAACTAAGCCACAGAGGCATAGTTCAAAGACAAAATCCATCAGAGAAAACTACTTTCTCAGATGCCTCAAAATAAATGGAGGAACTCAAGGAACAAGAAGAAAGATCACATGAATGGCTGGTGCTGTGGCTCACTAGGCTAATCCTCCGCCTACAGTGTCAGCACTCTACGTTCTAGTCCCGGTTGGGGTGGCGGTTCTGTCCCAGTTGCTCCTCTTCCAGTCCAGCTCTCTGCTGTGGCCCAGGAAGGCAGTGGAGGATGGCCCAAGTGCTTGGTCCCTGCACCCACATGGGAGATCAGGAGGAAGCACCTGGCTCCTGGCTTTGGATCGGCGCAGTGCACTGGCCGTAGCAGCCATTTGGAGGGTGAACCAATGGAAGGAAGACCTTTCTCTCTGTCTCTCTCTCACTGTCTAACTCTGCCTGTCAAAAAAAAAAAAAGACTCCCCCAAAGGAACACAACAGTACTTCAATGTTAGAATGTGAAGACGAAGAGACTCATTAGATTCCGGACAATGAATTCAAAAGGTTAATCATAGAATTACTCAGAAGCAATGAGAAGCAAATTTACAAGTTAAAGAAATGCATACATGACATGGAAGAAAAATTCTTCTGTGAGATTGAGATTTTGAAGAGAGATTGAACTGAAATATTAGAAATGAAGAATTCCATATGTCAAATAAAAAATACAGTTTATTGCCATAACAACAGACTATCCAAGCTAGAAGACAAATCATTGGAAATTTCTCAGACCAACAAAAGAGAAGAAATTAGAAAAACAAAAACAGTGTGGGAAATTTATGGGATATTATCAAATGACCCAACATACAGATCTTAGAAGATCTGGAAGGTGTGGAAAGAGAGATTGGATTAGAAGGCTTATTCAGTAAAATAATTACAGAAAATTCCCCCAATTTGGAGAAAGAAAGGTATCTCTAAGTATATGAAGCACATACAACTCCTAACAGATATGGCCAGAAAAGATTTTCACCACGACACACTGTAGTAAAACTTTCAAGAATAAAACATAAAGAAAAGATCCTAAAATGTGCAAGACAGAAAGCCCAGATTACTTTCAGAGGATCTCCAATTAGACTCACAGCTAACTTCTCATCAGAAACCCTACAGGCTAGGAGAGAATAGAGACATAATCCATGTCTAAAAAAATAAAAACTTGTCAACCCAGAATACTGTACCCTGCAAAGCTTCCATTTATGAATGAAGATAAAAGAAGGAGGTACTTTTCTCTGAAGGGAGGAGAGAACTTCCAACTTGATTATGGCCTGGTCTAAAGTATGTGGACTCAAGAGGCTTCCATAGCCTTGACAGCTCATGACAAGAGCCTTAGGTGATCACTGATATCATAAATAAGAGTGTCAGTTGTTAAATCAACAACAGGAGTCACTGTGCACTTGCTCCCCATGAAGGACTTCTGTCCTTAATAAGTTGTACTTTATACTTTGTGTGTCCATGTGGATGCAAACTGTTCAAATCTTTAGCATAGAGCTTTTCTTCTGTATATAAAAATAATTAAAAATGAATCTTAATGAAGCATGGGAAGGGAGAGGGAGTAGGAGGTGGGATGGTTTTGGGGGTAGGAGGGTGGGTATGGGGAGAACCGCTATAATCCAAAGTTGTACTTATGAAATTTATGTTTATTAAGTTGTGCTCTGAAGTAGAATGTGTGAGATACTAGTCAGGAGCATCATAGGGGCCATGCTGCATACCAGTGCTCTTGGTCATTTTGTAATTCCCCCCCACTCCCCCGGTAATCACACCAAGTATGTATCTCCTCATAGTATGATGATGAAGAGCTGGCTACAGAGCTTAGAACTCACTAGAGTCTGTGCAGACAAATCGTGCTTGTGAATTCCAGAAACTGGCCCTCCCAGGTCAGCATGAGCAGAGTATTGAATTTTTTTTATAACAGAATGTAAAGGGGTGTGAATAACTAGGGGAGCAATTAGCATGGGCTCTAGGCTGAGTGGACTTCATCCTGGTTATGAAGCCCTGGAATCTCTGTGACACAATCACATCACCTCTTTCAGATCCCAGCCAGATAACACTTTGTAAACACTTAGTTGTGCAAAATCCTCCTGTGAGCCTTTTATGATGACAGTTAAGGCCTCACACAAGTTCAAGGAACTGTTGCCATACCCTCAACCAGCTTCAGCCCCTGAAGATCTGCTCCTGACTTGCCATTGGCCACACCCTCCACAGGTTTTTTTGAATCCTTCTTTTTTGAACTCCTTAAAATCTGCATTCTGCCCACACTGAGTGAGATGGAAGTGTGAGAACCTCTCCCAAGTTGCTATCATCCCCATCTTTCTCTTATTTTCTAACCTTGTCCTCCTGATTCTGATAGGGAGATAAGGATTGGATTGGATTTTTGGGAGCACTCCTATACATCTCCTTTTTTGGCCCAAATTCTCATCCCACTGCTTATCACCAGCAACTGGCCCAGGAGAATTCCCTCTCTGGCCTCTCCCATCCTCCACACTAATGAAAGGGACCTAGCAACTCTGGTTACCTCATATTCATGCAGAGACATAAGTGATGTGAATGGGCTTTAGAAAGTGAGTTAGCTGAACTGGGAAACTGGTATCTTCTTACATCTCGCTACTTCTACATCACACCTCAGTTCTAGGTGCCAACATTCTAATAGTATCCATGGCCTTTGGTCGCTCTGCCTACTGATAGGCCAAGGTACATGTTACCCCAAGAAGAAGGACTATCATATAGACCCATTTCTTCTCTGTCCTATTTGCCTTGATTACTCTTGAACCTATCCCATGGAACCATTTCCCTGGTGGGCGGGGCTACTCCCTGCCCAGGTGGGTGGGCATGTTTATGTCATAAGGGACACTGTGACACGGGCTAGCCCATAAAAGCAGCTGTAGTCCTGGACCCTTACCAGTCACTGGTTCTGACTGCTAGGAGCCTCTCCTATCAACATGACAGATAAGCCCCAAATAATTTTTGCTTCCCAACGCCATCTTCCCCCTTATTCCTTATCTTCCCCCCGGCCTGACACTCCTGATCTTGTAGCCTGGCCCCACCTGTCTGGTCCTCCACCCCAGCCTGACCCCGCTAGCTCTGTATTTGAGCCTTACCATCCTGCTTTTCCACACTGCTTTTCCATACTGGCCTCATCCTCCTTTGGGCCCTCCACTCCAGCCCAACTATTCAAGTCAGCCATACCATTGTTACTTCCGTTCTGTCCCTTCACACCAGGCAAAACCCTCAGATCCTGCATCTTGGACTCACCCTTCTCCTAGTGCCCTCCCCACATCTGACTCTCCTTTTCTTCTCCCAGACCCTCCTCCCGGTCCAGTATTTGAGCCTTTTCCTCCTCCTGCTCCTCCATACTGGCCCCACCCTCGCTCTGAAAAGGGACCCACCCTCCCAAAAGTCTCATCCTACTACTAATTCCTCACTCAAACCTCATCCCCCTTCTCATGCTAAACACCAACCTTGCCATTCTCTGTCTCTAAACATAAGCCCCACCCACCCCCTGCTCCCAAGCACAAGCCTCGGCCTCCTGCATCTACACAAGTCCCAACCTCCTCCAGATGTTCCTCTCTGCCTTCTTTTCTCTTGTGGCCATGATCTCCGCAAATGCCTTCTAGCACTTCTTGCACAAAAGCTTCACCCTTCTCCTAGCCTTTTACACAGACACCATCTTCCTGTCATGCTCTTCACAGCTTCGCCTTCCCTCCAGTCTTTCTCCACAGCTCCACCCTCCTTCTGTCCCCTCACATTGGTGCCAGCCTCCTATTACACCTGTACACCAACCTCACCCTCCTCCTGGTCCCCCACCCCACTCTCAGTGTCCTGCTGCTTCTCTGCACCATCCTCGCCTGCCTTCTGATCCTGCCCCCAAGCCTCGCCCTCCTCCTGCTCCTCTCTCCCAGCCTCAGCCTCACCCTCCTTCTCCTTCTGACCCTCTGCCTCACCCTTCTTTTCCTTCTCCCTGCCCGTTCACTGTCCTTTTCCTCTACTCCAGCCTCACCCTCTGGCTGGTCTTCCCTCTCCACTTCAGCCTCCCTCTGAACCTCTGCTCCAGCCTCATCCTCCTCCCAAGTCTCACCCTCCTTTTCTTTCTCTGTATCAGCCATCTCCACTTCCTGTTCAACTCCAGCCTCAAGTTCCTGCTGTCCCCACCCCCCCAGCCTGTCCTTCCTTCTGGTCTGTCATTCCAGCCTCACCCTCCTCCTTATCCTCCATCTCAGCCTCGTGCTGCTCCTCCTTCTCACCCTCCTGGCCATCCTCGCCTTTGCTCTGTACCTTGATGCTTGCCTCACCCTCCTTCTGCTCATCCGTCCCAGCCTGACCTTCCTTCTGATCCTTCCTTCCCTCCCCACCCTCCTTCTGGTCCTTCTCCCTAGCCTCCCCTCCTCTTCCTCCACCTCCCTCTTCCTCCACCTCCTTCCTCTTGTTCCTCCATAGCAACTTCAACCTTCTTTGCCTACATCCTGTCTGCCCATTTGTCTCCTACACCAGCCTGACCTTCCACACTGTCCTTACCTTTGTATGACCTCTCACCTCAGTCTTGCCCTGCCTCAGGCCCATCAAATTCTAATCCTCTTGTCTACCCTCCTCCCAGCTCTCCTCACTTTGTCACCTTTTTCCTTCCATGACAAATGACACTACTTCCCAGTACCTGACCTTATTCACTCCATGCCCAGCTCTTCAAGACCCTGTTCCTATCATACCTAACCTGCCCATTGCCCTGTTATCCTACCTGTTTCTATTTGACCTCTATGTTATCCCCAACTCCCCCTAAAAACTCTACTTACTAGTCCTCTATACCCCAACACACCCCCACCCACTTGTGATCCAGTCACCCCATCCGTACCTACTGGTTCCCAAATATAATCCCGGAAGGAAGTTTCCTTCCCACTGTGACGGATCTGGTGAAGCTCACAGTTGTGAAGACTGGACTCCCAGAAACTTGGTGGTGGGTATAGGGGATGTGGTACAATGGCACATCACCCCTCAGCCTGAAATACTACTTGGTTCATTGCAGGATCCTTTACCATGAGCAAATCCTGGTTATGTGACTGAAGTATTTTGCCTTCATCCCCACTTGGTTCCTCTTAATAGACTAGAGCACCTTTAACAATTTCCCTTTCTCTGAACAGGCAGGTAGATCCTCTCCCGCCTGATCAATGTGCTTGCATCAGCCTTTAACTTACAATGTGGTTGGAGCAGACCAAACTGCAGGACCATAGTGGAGTGACAAATGAGGGGGATTCATCCCCTCTGTTCCCCAGGAGGGTAAGTTCTGTTGATCTGCAGAGTTAAAGTGAGTGGAAGAAATGGGGAGCCCAGAGGACTCACCTACAGGGCATGAGGATTCCACTGTAGGCAGGTGGGGACCTGTGTGATTTTTGTTTGTTGTTGGTTTGGTGGGGGTAGGGTTGGAGTTGGGGGGTGGTAATAGTTGTAGTTGACTTGATCTGGTTGTGTTCAAACTTTGTTGTTCCTTTTAATCCTCAAATATTTTAAAACAAAGTACAGGGTCCATAGACTATTTTCTAATAATCTTGAATGTTTAATAAGCATGGCCCAGTGTGTGGCGTTGCCCACAGGAATCTAACTTTTATAGTAACTTCCATCTCCTTGGCATTTCAGAAAATCCCTGTAGCATGCGTGTAATGGAGAGAAGGTGTCACTGATTGGCTGGTGAACAATGACATCGTTATCTCCAGGGGCTGACTCCATTTCCATGGATGACAGCCTTCCAAACATGGGACTCAAATGTGTGCAGAGAGGTGAGAACAAGTGTGGACAATCCTGATGCCTCTGACCTCTAAGCTGTAGCTCTTCTGCTCCCTTATGCGGGGAAATGCAGTCTTTTTTGAGGGATTAAAAACTGCCTGTCCCTTGGACCAGTCATAGCTGCAAGGATAGGCAGGTCTGTTTCCTTTGTGGTTGAGTGTAGGGCATGAGCGAGGCCATGGCGTGGCCAGGCCAGGCCTGGGGGGCTCCGCACGCGCAGCTGCCCCCGGGCGCCCCAGCCTGAGCTGCGCAGAGCCGAGCCGCGGGGAAGCGAGCCCGGGAACTAACCCAAGCCAGGGCCCGGAGCCAGCCAGGCAGAGAGGGGCCTGGCGTGTGAGCACGTGGCCCCGGCCACCGCCATGGCGGACAGCGGCCCCGCGGGGGGCATGGCGGTAGCGGCTCTGGCTCCCAGACCGGGTGGTGCGGACGATGGGGGCCCTGGGCGGCGCTAAGGAGGGGTCAGCATGAAGCGTGCCAGGCTCCAGGAGGCGCAGAGCCTGCAGGAGGACTTCATCGACAGCCTGCAGGCGCTGGAGGAGTGGGACTGTGAGCTGCAGTGTGTGCACAGCTGCCGCCATGATGCCGCCATGCCCAGGGCCCGCCATGAGCAAACTGCTGTCGCGCAAAGAGGGGGAGTGGATCCTGGAGCAGCTTGCGCGGCCGCCACAGCCCCCCAGCAAGAGGACCATTGGGGACCAGATGGAGAGGGACCAGGCTGCTGCTGCTGATGCTGATGCAGGCGACCTCCTCTCCAGCGGGCCCTGCGAGAGGGACAAAGAAGATGGCGCCCAGAGAAGTAAGATGGGCGGAACTCAAAGTTGTTTGTCACTAAAGCTGATTGGCTGCACAACATTAGGGGAAGTGATGACAACTGATGACGAGTATATAGACATATGGCTAGGCCTATAAAAATCGCCCCATAAAATGATCTTTTAAGTGATTGGTTGGTCCTTATGCCCTGCCCCAATGACTCTGCAGTATTGTGCTTTAAAAGGTTCTGTTACGCGCGAAATAAACGAGTCCCCTTGACTTGGCACCCCACTGCATCTGATTGTCTCCAGGTTTGTGAGGCTGGAAAAAGGCCAAGTGGCGCACTTACCTTTCTTCGGACCCAGTCCATGCACGTTCGGGTGGAATAAGACCCTGCAGTTGAGTCAGCAAGTTGCTGGAGATAGAGAGGAAGATAGAAAAAGACATCTGCCATCTAATGGGTCACTTCCCAGATGGCCACAATGGCCAGGCTGGGCCAGGCCAAATGCAGGAGCCAGGATTTTCATCCAGGTCCCCCACATGGGATACCATAGTCCAAACACTTGTGTCAGTCTCTGCTTGTTTTCCCAGTTCTTTAGCAGTTGTGCCCAGTATATAAACCAGCACCCATATGGGATGCTGGTAGCCACACAACACTGAACGCCATACATTCAATTCACTTCATACTCACCGGGTTAATCCGCACTAAATTAAGAATTCAACAAGGAAATATACAAAGATCACTGTTGTGCAATAGTAGACAAGGGCTATAAAAATATCAAATATAAAGATGTCAGTTTCACTCATATACATTAAATTGGGGGGTACAGATGACCCTTTCATGTGCTGATTTCATTTCCTGTGGGTAAATTCCCATGAGTGCAATGGCTAGGTCATATGGTAGATCTATTTTCAGATTTTTGAAGAATCTCCATACTGTCTTCACAATGGCTGTACTAGTATACATTCCCACCAACAGTGGACTAGGTACCTTTTCTCCCGCATCTTCACATGCACTTCTCTTTCTTTTTCTTTTTTCTTTTTGCATAATGGCCATTTGAACGTAGGTGACATGAAGTTCATTGTGGTATTTATTTGCGTTTCCATGATGGTTAGGGACCCTAAGCATTTGTCCATGTGTCTGTTGGCCATTTGTGTTTCATCCTTTGAAGAATGCTTGTTCATCTCTGTAGCCCATTTATTCACTGGGTTGTTTGTTTTGTTGTGGTCCAGTTTCTTGAGCTCCTTATGTGTTTTAGGTCTTAATTGTTTATCAGGAGAATAGTTTGCAAATTTTTTTTGTTTTTGTTTTTTTTTTTTAACTTTTATTTAATGAATATAGATTTCCAAAGTACAGCTTATGGACTACATTGGCTCCCCCCACCCCCCGATGACTTCCCTCCCACCCACAACCCTCCCCTTTCCCGCTCTCTCTCCCCTTCCATTCATATCAAGATTCATTTTTCAATTTTCTATATATACAGAAGATCAGTTTAGTATACATTAAGTAAAAGATTTCAACAGGTTTGCACCCACATAGAAACACAAAGTGAAAAATACTGTTTGAGTACTCGTTATAGCATTAAATCTCAATGTACAGCACATTAAGGACAGAGATCCTACATGAGGAGTAAGTGCACAGTGACTCCTGTTGTTGACTTTACCAATTGACACTCCTGTTTATGGCATCAGTAATCTCCCTATGGTCCAGTCATGAGTTTCCAAAGCTATGGAAGCCTTTTGAGTTCTCCGACTCTTATCTTATTTAGACGAGGTCATAGTCAAAGTGGAAGTTCTCTCCTCCCTTCAGAGAAAGGTACCTCCTTCTTTGAAGACCTGTTCTTTCCACTGGGAACTCACTCACAGAGATCTTTCATTTAGGTCCTTTTTTTTTTTTTTGCCAGAGTGTCTTGGCTTTCCATGCCTGAAATACTCTCATGGGCTTTTCAGCTGGATCCGAATACCTTTAGGGCTGATTCTGAGGCCAGAGTGCTGTTTAGGACATCTGCCATTGTATGAGTCTGCTGTGTATCTCGCTTCCCATGTTGGATCGCTCTCCCCTTTATTTATTCCATCGGTTAGTATTAGCAGGCACTAGACTTGTTTATGTGATCCCTTTGACTCTTAGTCCTTTCATTATGATCAATTGTGAACTGAAATTGATCACTTGGACTAGTGAGAGGGCATTGGTACATGCAAACTTGGTGGGATTGAATTGGAATCCCGTGGTATGTTTCTTTTTTTAATTTATTTTTTTTTTAATTTTAATTTTTATTTTTTTGACAGGCAGAGTGGACAGTGAGAGAGAGAGACAGAGAGAAAGGTCTTCCTTTTGCCATTGGTTCACCCTCCAATGGCCGCCACAGCCGGTGCACCGCACTGATCCGATGGCAGGAGCCAGGTACTTATCCTGGTCTCCCATGGGGTGCAGGGCCCAAGCACTTGGGCCATCCTCCACTGCACTCCCTGGCCACAGCAGAGAGCTGGCCTGGAAGAGGGGCAACCAGGACAGCATCCGGCACCCCGACTGGGACTAGAACCCGGTGTGCCGGCGCCGCAAGGCGGAGGATTAGCCTAGTGAGTCATGGTGCCAGCTGGTATGTTTCTAACTCTACCATTCGGGGCAAGTCAGCTTGAGCATGTCCCAAATTGTACATCTCTTCCCTCTCTTATTCCCACTCTTATATTTAACAGGGATCACATTTCAGTTAAATTTCAACACTTAATAATAACTGTGTATTAATTACAGAATTAAACCAGTCATATTAAGTAGAACAGACAAAAAAAATACTAAGAGGGATAATGTATTAAGTTGTTCATTAACAGTCAGGGCTATGCTGATCAAGTCACCGTTTCTCATAGTGTCCATTTCACTTCAACAGGTTTCCTTTTTGGTGTTCAGTCAGTTGTCACCGATCAGGGAGGACATATGATATTTGTCCCTTTGGGACTGGCTTACTTCACTCAGCATGATGTGTTCCAGATTCCTCCATTTTGTTGCAAATGACTGGATTTCGTTGTTTCTTACTGCGGTATAGTATTCTAAATAATACATATCCCATAATTTCTTTATCCAGTCTACCGTTGATGGCATTTAGGTTGGTTCCAGGTCTTGGCTATTGTGAATTGTGCTGCGATAAACATTAGGGTGCAGACCGCTTTTTTGTTTGCCAATTTAAACTCCTTTGGGTAAATTCCAAGGAGTGGGATGGCTGGGTTGAACGGTAGGGTTATCATCAGGTTTCTGAGGAATCTCCAGACTGACTTCCATAGTGGCTTGACCAGTTTGCATTCCCACCAACAGTGGGTTAGTGTCCCTTTTTCCCCACATCCTCTCCAGCATCTGTTGTTGGTAGATTTGTGTATGTGAGCCATTCTAACCGGGGTGAGGTGAAACCTCATTGTGGTTTTGATTTGCATTTCCCTGCTGGCTAGTGATCTTGAACATTTTTTCATGTGCCTGTTGGCCATTTGGATTTCCTCTTTTGAAAAATGTCTGTTGAGGTCCTTGGCCCATCTTTTAAGTGGGTTGTTTGTTTTGTTGTTGTCGAGTTTCTTGATCTCTCTGTAGATTCTGGTTATTAGCCCTTTATCTGTTGCATAGTTTGCAAATATATTTTCCCATTCTGTCGGTTGTCTCTTCACTCTCCTGACTGTTTCTTTTGCAGTACAGAAACTTCTCAATTTGATGCAATCCCAATAGTTGATTTTGGCTTTGACTGCCTGTGCTTTCCGGGTCTTTTCCAGAAATTCTTTGCCTGTGCCAATATCTTGAAGGGTTTCTCCAATGTTCTCTAATAACTTGATGGTGTCAGGTCATAGATTTAGGTCTTTAATCCATGTTGAGTGGATTTTTGTGTAAGGTGTAAGGTAGGGGTCTTGCTTCATGCTTCTGCACGTGGAAATCCAGTTTTCCCAGCACCACTTATTGAATAGACTGTCCTTGCTCCAGGAATTGGTTTTAGATCCTTGGTCAAATATAAGTTGGCTGTAGATGTTTGGGTTGGTTTCTGGTGTTTCAGTTCAGTTCCATTGGTCTATCCATCTGTTTCTGTACCAGTACCATGCTGTTTTGATTACAACTGCCCTGTAGTATGTCCTGAAATCTGGTATTGTGATGTCTCCGGCTTCGTTTTTGTTGTACAAGATTGCTTTAGCTATTTGAGGTCCCTTGTGCCTCCATATGAATTTCAGCATCATTTTTTCTAGATCTGCGAAGAATGTCTTTGGTATCTTGATTGGCATTGCATTGAATCTATAAATTGCTTTTGGGAGAATGGACATTTTGATGATGTTGATTCTTCCAATCCATGAGCATGGAAGATTTTTCCATTTTTTGGTATCCTCTTCTATTTCTTTAAGATTTTGTAATTCTCAACATAGAGATCTTTAATGTCCTTGGTTAAGTTTATTCCAAGGTATTTGATTGTTTTTGTAGCTATTGTGAATGGGATTGATCTTAGCAGTTCTTTCTCAGCCTTGGCATTGCTTGTGTATACAAAGACTGTTGATTTTTATGCATTGATTTTATATCCTGCCACTTTGCCAAACTCCTCTATGAGTTCCAATAGTCTCTTAGTAGAGTTCTTTGGATCCTCTAAGTAAAGAATCATATCGTCTTCAAAGAGGGATAGTTTGACTTCTTCCTTCTCAATTTGTATTCATTTAATTTCTTTTTCTTGTCTGATGGCTCTGGCTAAAACTTCCAGAACTATGTTAAATAACAGTGGTGAGAGTGGGCATCCCTGTCTGGTACCAGATCTCAGTGGAAATGCTCCCAACTTGTCCCCATTCAATAGGATGCTGGCTGTGGGTTTTCATAAATTGCTTTGATTATATTGAGGAGTGTTCCTTCTATACCCAATTTGCTTAGAGTTTTCATCATGAACGGGTGTTGTATTTTATCAAATGCTTTCTCGGCATCTATTGAGATGATCATATGGTTTTTCTTCTGCAGTCTGTTAATGTGGTGAATCACATTGATTGATTTGCGAATGTTGAACCATCCCTGCATACCAGGGATGAATCCCACTTGGTCTGGGTGGATGATTTTTCTGATGTGTTGTTGTATTCTATTGGCGAGAATTTTATTGAGGATTTTTGCATCTATGTTCATCAGGGATATTGGTCTATAATTTTCTTTCAGTGCTGCATCTTTCTCTGGCTTAGGGATTAAGGTGATGCTGGCTTCATAGAAAGAATTTGGGAGGATTCCCTCTTTTTCGATTGTTCTGAATAGTTTGGGAAGAAATGGGATTAGTTCTTCCTTAAATGTCTGGTAGAATTCAGCAGTGAATCCATCTCGTCCTGGGCTTTTCTTTGTTGGGAGGGCCTTTATTACTGTTTCAATTTCTGTTTCAGTTATGGATCTATTTAGGTTTTCTATGTCTTCATGGTTCAATTTTGGTAGATTGCATGTGTCCAGGAATCTATCCATTTCTGATAGATTTTCTTGTTTGCTGGCTTACAAGTCCTTGTAGTAATTTCTGATGATTCTTTTTATTTCTGTTGTGTCTGTTGTTATGTTTCCTTTTTCATCTCTGATTTTATTGATTTGGGTCTTTTCTTTCTTTTTTTAGTTAGTTGGGCCAATGGGGTGTCAATTTTGTTTATTTTTTCAAAAAACCAGCTCTTCGCTTGGCTGATTTTTTGTAATGTTTTTTTGGATTCAATCCTGTTAATTTCTTCTCTGATTTTTTTTATATTTATTTATTTATTTATTTATTTATTTTTTTGACAGGCAGAGTGGACAGTGAGAGAGAGACAGAGACAAAGGTCTTCCTTTGCTGTCTGTTCACCCTCCAATGGCCGCTGCGGCCGTCGTGCTGCGGCCAGCACACCGTGCTGATCCTATGGCAGGAGCCAGGCACTTCTCCTGGTCTCCCATGGGGTGCAGGGCCCAAGCACTTGGGCCATCCTCCACTGCACTCCCTGTCCACAGCAGAGAGCTGGCCTGGAAGAGGGGCAACCGGGACAGAATCCGGCGCCCCGACCGGGACTTGAACCCGGTGTGCCAGCGCCGCAAGGTGGAGGATTAGCCTAGTGAGCAGCGGCGCCAGCCTCTTCTCTGATTTTAATTATTTCTCTTCTCCTAATAGATTTGGATCTGGTTTGCTGCAGTTTTTCTAGGTCGTTGAGATGCGCTGAAAGCTCATTCATTTGGTAACTTTCCAATACTGCTTTTTGCCGTATCCCATAAGTTTTGATATGTTGTGTTGTTATCCTCATTTACTTCCAGAAAGTTATTGATTTCTCTTTTGATTTCTTGAATGAC